AGAGCCTGTTTGTGCTGTTCTCTGAAGGGAGTAGTACACACCGTTGTAAGAAATCTTCAGTTTTTTGGCAATTTCTCGCATGGAATAGCCTTCATTTCTAAGAACAAGAATAGACTGTCGAGTTTCACATGAAAGTTCTCTTTTTCTGGCCATTTTGAGCATTTAATCGACCCCACAAATGTGATGCTCCAGATACTCAACCTGCTCAAAGGAAGGTCAGTTTTATAGTTTCTCTAACCAGCTAAACTGTTTTCAGCTGTGCTAACATGATTGCACAAGGGTTTTCTAATCATCCATTAGCCTTCTCATGCAATGAGCAAACACATTGTACCATTAGAACACTGGAGTGATAGTTGCTGGAAATGAGCCTCTATACACCAATGTAGTTATTGCACCAAAAACCAGACATTTGCAGCTAGAATAGTCATTTACCACATTAGCAATGTATAAAGTGTATTTCTGATTAGTTTAAAGTTATCTTCATTGAAAAAAACAGTGCTTTTCTTTCAAAAATAAGGACATTTCTAAGTGACCCCAAACTTTTGAACGGTAGTGTATATATATATATATATATATTAGTGTTTCTGTTTGTGTGTGCGTGTGGTTATTATGTGTAATCAGCAATTATTAAGGTTTTTTTTCTGGTTGACAGTTCCATGAATAAATTACAATTTTTCTGGAATGCTTTTTAAATAATTTGGAATTCATATTAATCAAATTCCAAAAGATTGCTTCTTCCCTGATGATAAGGTCCAGAGCAAATATGTGAGGGTTGACAGAAAAACGTGTTTTCCTGGGTCTCTGGAGGCAGAGAGAGCAGTTAATACAAATAGGTTGCATTTCAGACCAGGCAAATGTCTCCCTAGTATTTAAAACAGATTGTTGGCTCTTTAGCCTCAGATTCATTGGCCCATTTATTTAAGTCTTTAAAATTCTCCGCCCCTCTTCTTCAGTAGTCACCGTATGCATACGTCTAAACGTGCATTCGGTGATGTGTCAGTTGTGACGCGTAACTTCCCATTTTCACCATTAGATGTCACCATTTTACCGATATTAGGAGGAACCGTTTTTTTCCCCCCACGTCGATTTTAAATTCATCCTGCATTAACCTCCCTCCCCCCGCTGTGCAGCAAGTGATGTTGTTTTCCATGGTAACATTAAATTCTCATGTGTGTCATATCCACACATACCCACAACCACAGCAGCTGCAGCACATTCACAACCGACAGCATCAAAGTCTTCACTGCTCTGAGCTCCATTACTTTGCATTACTCGTCTTAAATCTGTCACCAGCAGGGTCTCGCTCCAGACTGATGTCTCTGCTCTGCAGTGCATCGACAGGACTGCCGTCAATAAGACGGTGAATAGAGAGAAGAAAGGGTCCCTGGTTTGCGAAAGACCACAAGTCAGGTCCTCTGTGAAGATATTGATTCTTCTCACTTCCTGCAAATGTCACGGAATCTCTCTTTAGCTTTAACATCTTATGGATCAGCCCATATTTCTGCTTTTGTATGGATCAAGGAGGTTCATTTTTTGAACTTACTTCATTTATACACAGTGCTTTTTAGAGTTGATTAAAACCCTTTTATTGTATTTTGTTGGAACACCTATTTGTTGGTTAATTTTCGGTTATTGTTGATAAATATCTATGTTAAAGTGAGCAGTGTTTTTAATTCAGGGAAATTAGCATTGAGTGGGAAATTGGGAGCCCTTTGGGTCGAGGAGGTGTTGAGGGGGGGCGGCTTGGAAAATAATTGAACAAGAATGTTAGTTTCTAAACACAGTGTTTTCAAAGCAAAAGCGGTGACTATCTTGACGCGGGAGGTTTTCACAGTAGTTCTATTTACGCTGCAGTGGCAGTTCGAGGACCACTGCAGTACTAGGTTACAAGATCACCCTTTGGTCTGACGACCCTTGATTTCGGCTGTTCATTTCCTACACCAGGGTCTGAATGTGGACGCAAGACGTCAAAGATAGTTTCTGGCTTGTGTCAGCAACCCATCACAACATGAAACCTTAGCTTTTTCAGTGAACAAACTGTAGTAGCCCCCACAGTCAGCAAATCTTTTTAAGAGCGCAGCATTGAGCGGTGAAACAGAGCCTTGAGCTGTCAGCAGTGATGCAACTGTGTGATTCTCTCTTATCAGTATGGACCAACATTTCTGAGGCACAGTTCTAGCATCTCATCCTGACTGTGCCCTGAAAACCGAGGGCTAATCCAACGGCAGCAGTGTGTTGTATTAATATTGATACACTCTGCTGATAATAAACAGGCTGTAACTACAGCAGTGGTTGTGAGTTTGCTTTAAGTCGGTGTATGAGTGGTTTAAACCAGACGTGCAGCTGCAGTCCAGTCTGTGATGTGTCTGTGTTTATGCATCAATGCTGTATTCACTGCACAGACTCCTGCACGAACAGAAACCACTGCAGAGGTTGTGTCGCAATGATGTGTTAGTAGTGGAGCTATGCTTTCTTAGAGTGAGGCGAGGGGAGGGAGGGGGAGAGGGGGGGGACTGGAGGGAGGAGGGTTAGGGGGTGTTTGCATTTTCTTCCTGTCGCAGTGTCAGTCAAGGTAAACGTACAACTACCTCCTCCTCCTCCTCTTTCATTCTCCCTCTGCTTTTTCTTGTCCACTGCCTGCTTTTCCTTTTGTACTCCCCCTTCTCCTCACCCCCCGGCGTTTTGTTCGCCCTCCAGTTGATTTTCCATCACACATTTTCCAGATATTCTCTGTTTGGTTTATAAATAGAAACCACAGCATTTTCTTCCTGACTTCCTTTCCTCTGCCTGTCTCTTCTTCTTCACCCTGGAATTGTGCACTGGAGCAGAGACTCAGCTGGAATCTGCTGCAGTTCCAGGAATTCACACCTCCACCTCCAGCTTTCCTGCAGCAATTTTATATTGAAGTAATTTAGAAAGAAAAAAACCCATGAAAGTATAACCTGAGGGAAGCCACACACCTTTGTTTACTTCAGCTCTCTCTCTGTATTCACCCTATCAGACTGCAGGAGCAACACCAGGCTGAGCTCTGCTGACACTTCTTCTCACACCTCCACAAACTGACTCCTCTCACATCTTACTCCTTCCTCCACATCAGGGGTCTCAAACTCAATTTACCTGGGGGCCGCTGGAGGCAGAGTCTGGGTGAGGGTGGGCCGCGTAAGGGATTCCACAATAAAGTTTAAAAAAAAAAAGTCCTCAAATGTTAACAGTTAACAGTTTTAATGATTTCT